CATCCATCTTTATATACAGTCTATATGCAGTACTGCTTAAATTACAATTTAAAGCTCAATACCTCACAGAGACATATTTCATCTGAAGGGTGCGGGTGTGTTTTTCCAATTATTTAGTGTAAGTATGAGTGTGTGCATATGCAATTGTGAATCATACTTTAAATCTGAGAGTCTGTGGTTCTTTCCTCTTATTATTATTTCAGTTCAATTTCAGCCAAGTTTATTGATATTGAGTTCAGGCCAGGGGACAAACACCTGTTTTTAATGGAATGAAGCACAGCCTACGAAATTTAATGGTGGTGAAGGAGTGAGTAAGGGAGAGGGAGGGGAAAAATAGAGAGCAAGAGAAAGAATGGGTGGATATGAGTTGGGGTAGCAACCAAATCAGACACATGTGTTTGTGCAGTAAACAACACATCTGAAATAAACAAAGAATTTGGTGGCATGCAATCATTTCCACCTCCTTCAAAGATTTTAGTGTGTGAATCCCCCTGTAAATTGAGCCACAATGTGGATGAATGACTCAGCTGGTCAGTTTGTGCAACCTTTTAACTATATGAATACAAACACTTGAAGACAGTGGAAGGATTTGTCAGGGCAGGGCTGTTTGACTGACACATTTACACACACAACTGCATCAGCATTCATCTATCTGCTAAAACAGGGCGAGCCATGTTTCCTGGGAATCTAGTTCCACACTGCTGGCTTTGGGGTTTGTCAGACTGGTTTAAACTTAGTGAGCTTTGTGTGAAAACTGAGGTCCAGTGAGACGTTTAAACTTAGATCATTCTGTTTCTATTAAGATATCTTAGAAGTGGATCTGTAAGTGAATCCCCTATGGCAAATTCTGAATGGTTGCAATGCATATAAATCACAGTTTATACACATTGGCACAGCGGTTCTTCATTCCACATTCTCTTGTAGAGACTGCAACGATCAAAGTGTGGAAGAGTTCAGAAGAGTTGTTCTTCACTAAGATTACAACGTATCAGCCCTCCAGCTGATGGTAGTCTTGTATGTGAATGAGCACTGTTTGTGTATATTTTGCAGTCTGGTCAGTGTCCACACACTCAGAAGTACTTAACCTATTTCTTAGCTGCCCTTGACATCTGAAAGCTCTGTAGTACTGTTCTGTGTCTGCAGTTACTGGCAATCGCCATGCTGAGGAAAGTGTTGTTGCCAAAGTAACAGTGAGCCTCTTTCTGCCACAAAGTGTCACCACCTAATTTGACTATGACACGTACCATGAGTTGTTGACTTTAAAGTGATGAAACTAGATATTTAGCTATTATTTTATTACGTAAGTGCTTTAAGGACTGCTATTCTGAATGAACAGACCTCAAAGGCCAAATTCTGAACCTGCAATAAAAGTTGACTGAGAAAACAAGTTGCAGTTTCATGTCTACATTCAGCATGTATTATAGCTCTAAAGCTGCATGCTTAAATCAGCTACATGACAGTGTTTTTCCTCCATGTTGCTCCCTGAGTAACTTAAACATTCAGTTGCTCAGGGACAATCATAAAGCTGCACACACTGTTTACTTTCTGTGTCTGTCTCTTTTTCTTTCTATTTCTATATGTGCAGAGCGTGGTAGCCACGCACAAACACCTAGCATGGGGTGTGTTTCACTGAAACTCAGGAAAGAAAAAACATGAGTGAATAAGTCAGTGTGGGGGAAGATATTTTAGTATATTCGTTTGCTTGTGTGCGTTCATGTGAAGCGGTGTGTGAGTGTGCTACTGCAGAGAGCTACTGCTGCTGCTGCTGTGTGGCTGTTATTGCTCTCCCTGGGAGGAGATGGAAGATATCTGACAGAGCTGCCAGTTCAAACACTGAACAGCTGGAAACCAATGGTCACTACTGGTCCTCTTTGTCTGAGAGGGGAGAAAAGAGGGAGGAGAGGGGAGGGCTGTATAAAGAGAGGAAAGGGAGCAGTGAAAAGGATGGAGCTTATTGGCAAGAGATAGGACACAAAGCTTTTAGAGGGCCTCTGGGTGATGTCTTGGAGGTTTCCAACTCTTGAGCAATGGTGTCTACGAAGGGTTGCAGGAGTTTTTACGTTTGTAACAAGGTATGAGTGATGAGTGGTTGACGGTGGTATTTTAATGACTTTTGGATTACGTCTACTGGAAATATTTCTGATTGGCTGGCAGGTGTCCAAGCCTCAGAATCTTGATACTTTACATAACTGCATCTTTTACTTCCTGATATCTGGGTCCCAGTGGGTATTCATGAATCCTAAGAATACCACTCATTATGTATGATAAATACAGAGCTAGAGCCAGTAGGCAATTAGCTAATGTTAGCTTAGCATAAAGATTGGAAACAGGGGGAAACAGCTAGCCATGCTCTTTCCCAATTTGAAAAAAATCTTCCTACTATTCCTGGTAAATGTTTTATTTCAGATAAATTGGTGTTTTAGCAAAGATACAACAAAACTAATTTTGTTCCCATGAAGCTTGACAGAATGCCATTGGCTAAGAGTCACTGGATAAAATAATAGTAATTTTTACATTCACGGTAAATTGAATTTTAATTCTATGGGGAAACAACTTCCTGTTGTATGTATTATCTGTCCAGTGTCCCTGCTACCCCACAAAGCCACTATAAAGTCAATAAAAGTCGACCTCGGCTAGAAATTAAAAGGCATCCTCTGGAGTCAGTTGAAACAAATGGGTTCAAAATATCAAAAATGTAAATACTAAAATGCAAAATGAAATGGTTGCTTTTGGTTTATGAGATACAGAGAAGACAGATTTTAAATTAAGGTAGAATTAGATTTTTGTCTGAAATGAAACTCAAGATATTTACAGTGTAAATACCAACGTCAGAGTTGGTTTTAAACCACACTAGGTAGAGAAACCTATTTGAGAAATTTTTCCAGCAACAAAATGGGCTCCCCTCTGAGACCCAAAAAATCCTGGATCAACACATTTTCTCCCTCCTAGGCTTATTGGATTTCTTTGAAACTCTCCTCAGATTTCTCTAATAAAATCTTAATGAGAGGTGGGTAAAAAAAGCTACTTGGCTATAAGAACTTTTTTCCACTGTCCTGGACAAGAAACATCTTGTAGTTTGTCTGTCTGTCACATGAACTTACATAACTACAAATCAGAGGAGAGGAAGAGGACAAAGATTGCAAAATGCAGCACAGAAGAGGCTGGGATTTTGTTTTTCAGGCCACGGGTCATGTGTTTGTCTAGTTTAGCCAACATGTGCTTAGCTCTTCTCTTATTAAAATTTAATGATCTCATAATGCTTTGGACAAGTTTCACATCTTGATAAGACTGAAATACATTCAGATACATTTCTTGGCTCATCATTTCTAAATGTTTATCCCATATACATAGCACATAAAGGAATGCTATTCCCTTTACACTAAACTATTTTCCCCTCATCATCCCTCCTGTTAAATTGGGACAAATGCAGCCCTTTTCTGCAATTACAAAACAGCAAATCATAGATGATTGGGGGGAGGAAAGTGCTGAAGCATTTACTGGTTTAGTTTCTTTTACAAGAGCAGTGAGAACAAAATACAGCATTGCATGTGTTACTACCTCTTCTCCTGGATCGGATTTCTCAGCACTTCTCTATCACACACCCTCATTATAACCACACAGGGGTATTTATAACAATCACATGGGGTTGGAACCTCCAATCTTACATCCCAACCATTGTTTGATTCTACTCGTTTTAATTAAAGAATTGGCGTTTGCACTCATAGTTGCACAGTGTAAGGCATTCAAGATGAGAGATCAGCTATATTCCAAAAAATGTAAATCACATACAGCTTGTCATTTATGAGCTCTCACAGGATAAGGCAGAGCTCATAAACACATGTGGTCATTCATTCCCTGTCTCCTGTGGCTGTCATAAAGCTGCCAACAAAGACTATTGTATTCATTTCTCAAATGTAAAATAGGCAACGTCCCAAACGCCACGTTTGTTTCTGCATCTATTGTCAACCCACTGATCCAAACGGGTTAACATTAGGAAAAAGGAATTACAAACTACACAGAAATGTAGCTCCCATACAGGGCTGACAACTGAGTCCTCAAGCGCTCATGTTGCAAGAGATGATGATGTGCACAGAGTTAAACGTCGCAACAATAAACCCAGTCCCATCCAGACTCACCACAAACCTCGCCAGGCCTGTACCCCCAGCGTTCCCTACAAAGATCCCCGAGCTGGCCTCGAAGGTCAGAGGCTGAGGGCTCCTGGTGAAGGCAACTCGGTGGTATTCCTCACAGTCCATGTAGAGGCGCACCTGAGTGATGAAGGGCACATGCACACACACTTATTTCCAGCAATTGATAACAAGATATTGTCTTTTTGCTGCAATTATTCTATTTAACTTTTTATTAAACTTTATTCCCTGCAGCTACACATACAGTGACACACATCCTCACATATTAAATAAACCTCTGCAAAAGACAAAAGTGCTGCATGTAGCCTATTTAACACTCATGTGTGTAAGATCTAAAATCTTCTTTTAACTTCTGCTGAAAAAAAAAGGCTGCATGCAACACAGATTGTATCAGTACTGTCTGTGTAGCCAAAGATGTTTCTGTTCCATAGACCTCCATTGTTGTCCAAAAACTATTAAAAACACATCAGTGAGCAACATCATTGCGCTGGGTAACATGTTCCTTCATTACAGTGACCACAGGCACTGTAATTTATTTTGTGTCTATCCCACGTCATCCTACTGCTGTAAATACTCACTAATGCACCAAATCTGTGCTTAATTTGTTCCCAGGAAAACTTCTTTCACCTGTTTGTTTGAATAATGTTTAATATTAAGTGCACTGCCTAAGTTTTTTAGTCAATTTAGTCTGTTTTAAAAATGAAAGTATAATCATGATCCTGTTTTATGCTTGTGCCTCATTAACCATAAACATAACTTTCCATGATGTTAACAAAGTTTGCACAAATTTATTTAAAACAGATTTATTGATGTTGAAACGCCACACATGACATCTTTACTCAAAGTGAACTGAGTACAGTACACCCACCTCTGTCCCTTGCACGGTCAGGGTAAACCTCGCCCATCTTCCTGTCAGGTCTCCCATTTTGAAGGAAGCTGCTTCCTGGGTCCCACCTCTTGTTCCTGGGTCGGTGTAGTACAGTATGACTCTCTGGGAACCATCCTCTACCTCGGACAATGCTATACCCAAGTGTACAATCTTACAAAAAAAGAAAAAGAAATCAAAAGAGTAGAAAGCTGTTATTTACTTTGTTTATGTTTACATGGAAAAAAAGAGGAAAAAAAGTGGAGTTAAAATGTCGCCTGCCTTTTGGTAAGCATCTGTAATGGCAAACAGCACACCACCGCGCCGTGTGGTAGGTTTAGCTGTGACCGTGACGGCAAAGTCATAGTAGAATGGGTCGGGGATGAATGACTTTGTGAGGCGGCCCACGTTGGCGTCCGGGCCGAAGCTGTAGGCAGGGTAACCCTCAAAACCCGTGACAAAGGAGACGGAGGGAGGAAGGGGGACGCCGATCAACTCCGTCAGGTCCAAGGCTCCCTGAGAACCACGGTCTGCAAAGAAACATGGAGGCGGAAACCATGTTAGTGGAGGGGAAAAGAAAACACATTTCTCATGCAACAAAAGTGTGTCACGGGATGCATCATTGGCCTACAAACACCTTTACCCAACAACAATAATAAACTGAGCTCAAACAAAGAGGTACAAGAAGCCTCATTGCTGCCATATGGAAACAATGTGGTGTCGAGGGTTAAACTGAACTTCACTGATGCAGAATATTGCATTTCATGGATTTGCTGTCTATTGGTGCCAAGGGCCTCTTTTATCTGAGTCACTGCAATTAGTGTATTAATGATGTATGTCGAATCCTGTTTGCTTTAAATCTCTTCACAAGTCATGTGGAAATCCTTCACTTTCTGAATCATGAACAAGATTTCCTATAGGTCCATGTATCCGGGTTCTTGTATGCAAAGCTTAGAGAAAAGGTGCCCTCCAAGAGCTAAAGCCCCAGATTTGCTATGTGTCAGCCAGTGTTTTTGGGATTAGTATGCACCACTAAAATCCAGTATCAAAATGATAAATCACACAGTTGTACATATTCCATATTAAATTCCTGTTTAATCAAATTACCATCGACTAATTTGATATGCAGCAAACCTGGGGCCGTGTAGCAGGAGCACTGGTTGGTATCTGTGGCTAGATAAAACATAATGAAGATGCCTTGTGTAGTGTGCTACGTGCTCGGGGTCTGATGGGTAGTTGAAGCTGACAGGGTCCACAATCCATACATAGGAGGGGGCCAGTTCATTTTTGCATTGGTGCCCCCTAGTGGGTTAATCCAGCCATGGGTCAGAGGACTGATATGTTATCCTAGAAATGAAAGCATTCCACAGTACGGACAGTATGGGAGCTCCAATTATATCTTAATGTATCTTTTCAATTCCAGCTACACAGATTCTTTTAAATTACATTATTTACATTTTCAGTAATCTTTAACCATCTGGGGAGGTTCCAATCATCCTTGCATCTGTCTGTAGACATTTTGAAGTTTGACAAAACATCAGATACACCCCATAAAGTTTGCCAAGAGGGTAAGAAGGGGCTTCCATCTGTCTAACACCCACACCCATCATCTTCATCCTATTCTGTAAACTTGTCATTACAGTGTGAACGGCTGAATGCACACAATCACAAGTCCTCAAGCATGCCAGACAGACGGCATGCAGTTGTATTGTCTCTCCCACAGACATGTGAGCACGTTGTGAGTGCCCACCTACCACAACATCACTTTTCTTCCCCCCCTCTGTCTGTCTCTCTCTGTCAGACACACAAATGCACACTCACTCTACACCTGGTTCTGCTTAGTGGGAAGACCCCTGGAACAATCGTCTGTTCTTTTAGCGTGTAAGGGCAGCAGGGTATAGAGGCTGGGCATCTGGAAGGCATTAGGTTAGACTAATACACACGTGCTGCGCAGTGGCAGCTCCTGTAAATTAGGCTTACCGCGCGGCGTGTGTGTGTGTGTGTGTGTGTGTGTGCGTGTGTTTGTTTGTGTGTGTGTACATTTGTATGTAAAGGAGGGACAAAGACAAAAAGAGTGGAGAAAAGAGAGACAGACTGAGATGGAGAGTGCAAACATTAAGACTTCCATGAGTGCAGCGTGTGTGTGTGTGGCCCGTAAGGCTCTCCACAGGAAGAGAGGCACACTTCTTTCCCCCATGCATTAATTGGATTGAAACTCCTACAGACTGTGGCAATTAAAAATAACAATGAAGTGCAACACCGCTCTGCTGTTAAACCCCGACTGTAGCTGAATACTATAAACTTGCACAGGATTGTAGTGTATAGTTGCGTCCGTGGGGATACTGGACTGTATTTGTTGCAGCCTTCAGTAATTTTGGATACTACACTTCCTCCAGAGACAACTAAATCTGAAAATGATGCATGCCCACATTTTAGGTAGTTTTCATAAAGATCCCCATTTACGCTGAAACAGCAAAACAACAGCCACGCTGCTGCAGTAAATCTTCAGTAAAGACTTAAAAGACATAGCACAGATAAATACAGGTTTAATAAGAACGCCTGTACCACTTGTCAACTTTACAACCATGCAGGTTATGAGTGTGTCTGAGCAGACTTATGTGAGTTTCCAAAAATTCAGTTTTCCTCATTCACACTAAAATGCAAGGAGGGCATTTTTTTATTCATCCACTAAGTAGAAAGGTTTTGGAAAGCTCACTTTGGGTGTGAGAAATGTTGGCTTATTGTGGACAGAGAGACTTAGCAGAAAGAAAAAATATGTTTTTCAGATTTTCCTGGCTTAGGGTACCCTGATTTTCATACAAGTAGAGTCAGAATGGATGTGATTGGTATTGAGCAGCCTGTGAAATGTAAAATACATCATTACATTACACATCAAATTACATTCTTTTGGAAGACGCTTTTGTCCAAAGTGGTTCACAGTGAGTGCATTCAAACGCCATAGCAACTAAAGCTAGACCCTAAATATTGCAGGTGTCACAAAAACAACTGAAAGCATGTTCAGTACTGCTGCAGACTTTCTTGTGATTGTCTTAACTTTCAGGCACTCATTTTATTAAGCTGATGCAATTAAATCTAAGCAAGTTAAAACAAGTTCTAAGACATTGACCCATTTCTGATTCCAGAGAAACCTGGAATCAGAAATTGGTGATTGGTCTGTTGGATGCCTCGTTGGAGACGCAGGCTCTCTATATCTTCTCTGTGTTGTCAGTGGTAAAGTCCTGCCAAAGCGTGTCGTGTCGGCCAACAATCCCACAGCTCGGCCTGTCACTTGGCTCCGTATTTGCCCAAAAATTACATCACAGCAGATGTTCCTCCACAGGGTCAGAGACTTAACAGCTGGACAGATCACCATGGAAACTGAGACACACTCTCCGCACTCACTCGCTGCACTCACTCAACTTCTCATGATGCAACAGGAACCCACATGAACTTTGCTGAATCCGTATTTGTCCTGTGCCGTGCATCATCCCAATGCTGGGTTTTTGGGCAAACAGATGATCGTATTGAAGAAAGCTGGCTGTATTGATGAGTAATGACTGTTAAGAATAGTGAAAGTAGAGTAGGGAAAATGTAAAACATCCCAGTGCAAGACGTTGTGAGTAATTTGGGTTAGGGTGTGACTTCGCAGTGTAATCAGGCTTGGCTGAGTCCGAGCACCACCTGCACTGGAACAGGGCAAGAGAAAGAAAGCAGAGGAGACGAGGAAGGCTGGGAGATACAGATCATGTCCTCTAGCTAGTGTTCGCAGTAATAACTTCAAGGTGTATTAAATGAGGTACAAGATGCTGCAATGTGATTAAGCCTTTGAGTCACAGAGGAATAACACTGGCTTAACTAAGGTGAACTCCCTTTTCTTGGGAAGAAACTGTTCAAGAAATTGGACAACAGCTAGAAAAATATATGGAGATGAGTTTATGATGGAGATGAGGGCGGCAGTAGCTCAGTGTGTAGAGACTTGGCTTGG